GCTGTTCGAAACATGTTTCTTATAAGCGCCCTTTTCGTGTGAGAGGGGTGAGAGGAGAGGTAATGAACCAAGATGTTTTACTTCTTGGCTTTCGGTACCACTTTGTAATGTAGCGATTTTCTGATAGGTGAATTTGTACGTTCAAAAATGGAAGCCATTTTTCTTTCGGCTTTTCTCGGGTGAACTTGATATACTCTGACTGTGCGTTTAACAATTCGAAGCATTTGTCCATTTCCTCTTGTGTCGAGCAAAGGACAAAGCAGTCGTCTACATACCTACAGTAGAGTAGCGGCCCGAGATCAGTCACCGGTGCTTCCACCTTAGCCCCTTTTTCTTTCTGCTTGCTTCAGAACATCATGAAGCTAGCCAATCCAATTCTTTCCTGCTGCTTCGTTCAGAAAATTACAAAGCAAGACAATGTTCGATTTCCGTTCTCAGTTAAAGTGAGGTAACAGAAATACCAGGTACCAGATTCTTCCACTAAGTGCTCATAACTCCAAGAATCCCAGTACTCTCAAGCATTGCGTAACAAAACAATTTTCGACACTTTTTAAACAATAACGGGCTTCCCATATTATGCAATGGTTATGAAAATGAGTTTTATTTATAGTTCTCTGTTATAACACATCATTCTGTACAAACATTAAAGAAAGAGTGCCGGCACTAATGAAAGGAGTACAGTATTGGGTCGGCCACTCAGCGATATGATAAGTCTGCACCTAACCACTCGACAACTCTAGAAAAAAGGAATAGTGCACGAGATAAAAAATAGATAGACTTCGAAAAATAAAAGGATCCCTAGAGCCCAACATAAATAAATGCAGATGAGTGCAAACGAAAGAAAGAGTTCGAAATGAGCAATTTTGCAAAAGCCTCTGATAATAACACGGAAGATTCGCAAGAGGATAAACGAGAAGGCCACGAGCGGATGGCAGCAGCGAACGACAACAACCAGGAGCCCTGCTGTCAAGGCAATATTTGTTAATCTTGTTTGGGATTAATGAAGCCTGAACCAGCCTGGTTTCTGGTGGCGGTTTTCAGCGGGTTCGTACCCCGTTATGAGTGGAAAGGTTGGCTGCAATCAAACTGATTCAGCTCTCAAACTCGAATTTCGTACCCTCTCACAAGTGAAAAGTAGAGGAAACGATAGGAATTATGTGCATAAATGATAGAGAATTCTTTTCTGAGGAGGAAATCCATAGAAGCCCAAGGAACAGATATAATTAATTATATATAGGATAACACGGGTATGGTTTGTTTCACATATGACAACTTTACTGGGCTTTGACCTCATGTTTGACCTTATTACCTAAAAGTTCATGCAATCGCTCTGATACAATTGGTGTAATAAATGGAGAAAATGAGAAGAATCGTGTGACTTCAAATTTAATGAAGCAGCTGAATTTTTCTCCGCGATGAAGAACAGAAAGAGCTATCGAGGGCTGATTATCAGAAGATGTAAAGCACTCTGATTTGAGCTAACCCATAATGATTTAGTCGTTTTTGCCCCAGCAAAACATGCCTACCTGATCATCAATATTTATCAAATTCGTTTTCAACTCGGAAATCCCAACCAGATTTTCAGCTCGTGTACGAATGCGTAAAGAGAAAAATTACCCTACAAAAAGTGGAACCGGTGCGAATTTGTGTTGAACCTACGGCACCTAACCATTCTGAAATACAAACTTGGTCTCAAATGTTATAGCTTTTGGCTCACAATAATAATCCAGATAAAAAAGCATTTCGAAATAAGTATAGAGTTTATCGAAAGCACAGAATCAGTTAGTGATTTCCTCCGCAGATAGTTAAATGTGGGAATCATAGTATGGAACACGAACAGAATGATTCATAGTGGAAAACATTTCACAGCAAACCATAAAACGAGAATATTGGCAGAATAAGAAAACCCGTAAAAAACCCCAACATGCTGTTTGTCAATTTAATGTAACAGAACGTGATCGAAAGGCAGTGGTGCACGAACGGCACCGACCCGAGTGATGAGCGTCAGATCAGGACGCCGCGACGGTGGCGTCAGGCCAGAGGTACCGTAGTGTCGTAGATGGAAGGCGCACGAGCGATTATCAGAACTGTGCCCAGCGCACAAGCAAATGTGAACAGTAACAAGAATACCCGATCCATTACCACCGACACATATTTCCAGTCTTCGATAACCTGAAACGATGCATGTGTCATTGATGTTTTCTGAAAAACGCTTGCCTGTCCTCAGTTTCTGACCACGTAGTGCATCTGCCCATGCTACGTATAAACACAGGATTCATCTTCAAAACAGTAAATTCACAATCTTATAATCCGTTCATTTATAGGCTAAAAGCGACCTATACACACAGTATGGCAATGAACAATTTACTTAAAAATGCATTGATTAGATACACCACTGAGTCTTCGATCACTCGTTTACCAAAAACGTTCTTCAAGAACTCTCAACTAAAAAACTATTTGTCTTCTTCTAAGTTTCTTTTTATTAAAATAGTAACCTTCCATTCCTACTACATGCCAGTAATGTACTTAAAAGCGTGCAGCAACAGGAAATTTGACATTCGATTGAACGACGGGCCCGACAAAACCCCAATCGCACAGCGATTCATCACTTCAACTTATGCGGTTTTTATATTTGTTTCTGGACATTCTAGCAGTATACGATATCTATCTAACATTAACAACTAACACGCTTAAAACAAATGTTAATGTCCTGTATCTCGATAACGCTCAAGAAACCGCTCTTCATTTAGAGTGATTAAGGACGGTTTTCAAAAACTACTCTACATTCATAGGTGCTCAGAGAGGTTTGGCCTCCTCTTTAGCTCTGTTCTTGTGTGTTTTTAAAGGCTGAGGGAAAAAAGTGACGACATAACAAATTCGATTGAAGACTACGCTTGTGGTTTCTCACCTGTTTGTCGTCTTCTTCGTTTTTTAGGTGATCTGCTATATAGGCAACACTTTCCACGGCTGACCTCACAGGAGAAACGTCACTGCAAAAAAGTTTTCTAACCGATTACTGTGTAAGACTTTGCAATATTGTAGTTAGATTTCCATTTTGAATGATTTGAGAGGAAGAAAGAGGTGAAATCTGCAGCCTGGAACCACGCGCTAAGTCTTTATAGAAGTTGCGCACAAATTTACAATGAAGATAGGCTAAAAGATTAAAAATGGTTTGTCAAAGATTCACGAAACGTTTTTACTATGCTGGATTTCTTTGTTAGTAACATAAAGCGAGCGGTTTATATATGAAATTTTACTTTGCGTTATAGTACTTGCTAACTTTTCTCTGTCGGACAGAGAGAACAGGCAGAGAGAGAGAGAGAGAAAGTGAAGCCTTATGGTGATCCCGATTTTTAAAAATGAGCTTTGTAAAATTGTTCCATGTCAACTTCAGAGCGGTCCCTATGCATGTGTAAATCACCTGTGAAAAGTCTGATAGGAGCGCAGCTCATGGTTTTAGGCTTACAAGTTTCAAAAAAGTAGAATTTTTAACTAGATCGAATCATCAAGTGATTAAAGCATCAAGAGATCCAGAATTACAAGACCTTCCAGAAAATAAACTAAAAAGTCGCCATCATTCTTAGTTACCAATCAACGAATATCTTCTAGTCATCACATGATTACTTATTTTTTTCTACGGAACTGTTCGAAAATGCATTATAAGCCTATGAAAGCAAGGTTTCTGCAGGTTTCCGAACTGTGGACCATGTAATTTGTAAAGATCTCTGTTGAAAAAGGTAGCTTTTCTTCTTTAAACTAAGATCAACTAAATGTAGAAAGGGAACTATCCTGATATCCCAGGAATAGTCTTTACTTTCACCTTTTTTCTCAACCATTTCGTATTTTAAATTTGAAACCGTTACTTCTTGAGTAGACCCTATCAATAAGAGTAACACAATTTAAAAAAAGCATACCGCTGGAATGAAGAATATGAAGTGCCTTCGGCAGAAGCCCTGAACGAGGAGCGGAACACAGGTGAAAGATGAGCGGTATTCTGCAGATAACGAGAATACGTGCAGTATCGAAATCACTTTAGAAATAAAAGACAACCTGAGTCGACGCAGTGGCAAATTGGTTGTTGCCATTTGGAGTGCTAAACGTCGTTCGTGAAGTTTTCTTCTGAAAAAATATGAATCAACGATGGCATCCGTAATATCGGTGGAGATCGACTAACTCAAATGAGCACCATTAAACTAAGGTCTTCATTTGTCGATGTTACATGTAAGGTATAACTAGTGAGATAAGGTGGTTTAGATGATATAGCGATCATTAAATTTTTGACACAAAGTTCATTAACATAGTTTGGCGGTGAGGTGGTCATGAGTAGCTCGTTGAACATTACCGTGACATAGGCTCTAGCCAGGTTTCTCACAGAAAACTGGGAGTGTTTCTCAGCTCGGGTTACCCTCGTCAATTCTACTCGTTCTAGAGGTTAAAAAATTTGATAGACATAGACAAGATGGACATTTCTGCCTGATATATAGCGTTGTAAACGGCACATAACGTTAATAATACATGTGTAGAGAAGGTTTTCCACAAAACAACGAATCTTCTCTATCGCTTTTCATAAACACTCACAAATTCGCTTTATACAGTTTCTGCATATAATATTTAAATATCTGTCTTGGTGTAAATCATTCCATCACTGGCTAATAAAAATTTAACTACTGCTTTATGTTTTGAATCAGCCTTGTTAAAAAACTTTATCTGAAAAAAGTTTAAGTATTTATTTTCAACCATTTTGTGGTAGAATCTATCCAATCATTTGTTTTATTGCTGTCATTAAATTCTCTACGTTGTTACTGTTGTAACATTTTTCTAATTAAACTAAAGTTTAATTGCTCGAGTTTAAGATACAAGCCATAGACACAATTGTCAAGATCCGCGTGGCCAAATAGCAAACAAAAAAAGAAAGAAAGCAAACAAGGACGTCCTTATTTATCAGATGTGCTGACAAATCCGTCGCACTACAACACTTGGGGCGGGAACCATATCTAGTGGCCACGGATCATAAACACAATCGAGTCAAGAACAGTAATCGAACGCTTTCGTTCCAATTTGATGCTTTGAAGGCCGCATTTCTGTCCCGAACGTTAGGGCTAAAATCTATTTTCAGAACATGAAACAAGATGATACTAATCGAGGATCTACAACGAGCTGACAACACTGTGCAGAATCCACGAAAGCTGTCCTGCTATATATCGACACAGAGTCTACTTGTTAAATGTAAGTCGTAGTAAAATTTCATTCGAACTCAACGTTTTGTTCCTACAAGACAGCTTAGCGTTTTAACGCAGAAGTCATAGACTGAACAACCCGTGGACGCCTACCACTGGGACGAGCAGGGTTCTATTTCTGGCCAATGCACCAAAATATTGTAGCAGTGCAGTAGTAGATCTATTTTATCGCAGAGAGAATAACTGGTTAAGCAGTGGCTTGTAAATTTTTATGGCTATCTTTGTTTGCCTGGACAGTTTGCAACGGAGCGTCTGTGCCTGATAGAGCTGATCTAAAGTTTGTTACAGCAAATGAGTGGAAATATGTCAGAAAAGGCGTTGTACAAAAAAGTTTCGTTCACAGAAAGTTTCATCAGGAGAGGATTTTATAGCTACACCAAGACGGTGAAATAAACAATCGAAGATTGTGCAAAGCGAATTTGTGAATGTGTGTGAATGTGTAAGAAGTCATAGGGGAAAGGCATTACTTTATGGAAAAAGTCCTCCGTAAATGGCATAAAAGAAGAAAGGGTAATCGAAGTAACAAAAGGTAATTAAATCAAGAATCCTGCTGAGAAGTGATTACTGGTGGCACAAATCGACAGAATTATCAATCGATGACGATAGAACTAGCTGAGAGACAGGCGAAACGAAAAACTCGCACAGTCTGGTGGTGAACGCGCCAGCCCCCCAAAAGGGTAATAGCGCGTTCGTTCCCCACCGTAGGCACCTGTGGTTCGGAGTTTTGCAAATATCTCAACATCATTGTGGTTGTTTCACATATAATACCTTGCCGTGAAAAAATTGTAATAGGCAATGAATAAAAAGTCTACATTGTAAACCAAGAATGTTTAACTTTTTATCCACTCATTACTATTTCCCACAGCGAGGTAAAAAGGATAGCGGTCTCGGAGTTAATCAATCCATGAGAGATGCGCCATGCATTCGACTTCACTAAGCATCGCTGGAGGTGATTGAATGCATATCTGGTCTTTACAATGACTCGCGGTGGCCTTCTGATGTATCGAGTCAGTGCTGTTGTGCTCTCTCACAAATCTAGTACCAATTTCTAATCCCGGAGGCAAGGCGGGGAGGTTTGGTGACCTTGAGGCGCTGGATCAATCCTATATGTATTGCAGGGCGCCTTTAACTACTGTGTTACACGCACCCCACCTCAGGTTTTAACCGGCGACTACTCTTTCCGGGACTTACGTGTTATCCAGTGCACCATTGAGGCCGCTGCTTTCCCTTTCTCTCAACCAATTCTTTTTAACCTAACTGTAGCATTAAAAATCATCCGTCAACGGGAATGATCTACGGAGCACAAATCGCTACTGATCTTAGTTAAACTGAGGTTTTAGTCGAAGTCGCAAATGGTCAACTTTTTATCTATCTAGAATCTATCAGAGGGTCCAAGTTTTGCAAATAACTGAGCGTTGGTGTGGTTGTAAATCAAGAATGCTGCAGGTGACTGTCATGTGTTGGTTTTTGCTAATAAAACTGCAAAGAATTGAAACGAAATTCATCACAAAGGCCCCCTGTGGAGCATATGAGCAGGACAACTATCTTAACGAAGGGTAAGAACGTAGACTGTAGAGTAAAACAGCTTGCGGAAAATCTAAGATAAAGCGGACCTTCAGATCCGATCTTGAATCAGGCTATCACGGTTTTGTTCGTTACTAGCGCTTTTTTATTTAAAAAAGGCTCTTAGTAAATAAGTAACAGGTTGTTCGACGGATCTGCGAACGCACTTTATTTCGAAAAAAGCAAAACTAAAAAAAACTGAAAGCTTTAGAAAAAATGGCTCACGTGGTGTCCTGGTTGAGGTGGTCTTTTCATGAACAAATACCTTGGGAGAATATCGATGAAGAATCGTCGAACGCAGTCTGGCATATTGTGAGTGGATGGTGACCGATAGTGAACGTTCTGAACGAATACCGTCATTGAGGACGTACAAAACTCAGAAAAACGTGACAGCAAGTAAGATGAAAACGCCTTTAAAAACAATAGAAACAGAAGTATGAGCATTTTTATAAAGGTCGATGTGACTCGAGGTTTCCATAACCTGAATCACTTAAAGTGCCACTGAAAATATTTAGAAAGTGTTGAAAAAGATGATGTTAGCCGTCCAGTGAATTACTGTTTAATCTTTGGAGGAAAGTCGTGAACATTCCTCCATAACTCATTCGAAACAAATCCTTCGCTAATGCTAATTCGTAAGGTAACATTCGTGTAAAGCTGCCTTATTTCTCGAAAAAGTTGGGCTATTTCTTCCCTCTAATAGCCCGACCTAGTTATATAATATGACACCACGGCTAGCCTATATTTTTCTCGCATACATCAAAATTGTTGCGCAGTGGTTAGGGGCGCTCAGCAATACATAAGTGATCTCTAGTTCGATCCCACTCTACAGTAAACCAGGTCACCGCAATCCGAAAAATGGTAATAGAATTTTTTGGAAATTTAAAAATACTAACTTAATAGGAATTGGTTAGCACCAGCCGAAAACGTATTCAATCGCCTCTATGACACTGAATTAAATCGGATGCATGGCCCATCCCCAAAGAATCAATCAACGCTGAACACTTTATCCTTTGTTATATAACAGCTATTATTTAAAAGCAGGGATGCTAATATATGAAGAACACTTGGAGTCTTAGTTTGGCTTCTAGCCCGCGATTATCCTTTCCGCCGGGGTCTCACATGCTATCCTCTGTACAACCAGGACGCTTGCTTCACCTTTCTCTCACCCAGTTTTCTACTTTAGCGATCCTATTAGCGTCATCCGTCAACGAAAATGATCTGGAGACTCTTATTTGAAATGAGCAATTAGGTAGGACGAAATGAAATTAACATAACAAACCAAGGTAATAACGGTAACGACAACACTAAGAGTGACTAGCACCATAGTGAACAGAAGGTATTTGCCTATCAGCGGTATGACGAGCGACGTCGACGGAATGATCTCGACTGCAAAGAGCTGGATTCGATTTGAATCACGAACGGTAACAGATATTATGAACACGAATGAATTATACATTCTCAATGAGTGTATACCCATATATGCTTTCATTAAGAATTCACCTGTTTCTGTTGCAAATCCAGTGCTGTGAGAAAAATATCCTTATGAGATCTGCGTCAAAATCGGAAATGGATTCGGTTTTTTGAAGTCTTATTATAGAGCTTTTATCTTATCGTAGTTTTAATTCGTATTTTAACTTGTTCGCAATCGGATGAGATGCTCAGCTCATGAGAGCCATCAAAGCCTTTTCGACGCATATACTTGATACTTGAACGGCCCGTTCCCACCAGTGGTGCGGGCCCCAGCATAATCACCATTTTTCGGAAATTTGCTTGTTAAGCCATTGTAGTTCCTAGGAACCCCGAGGACAGCCTGGCCAAAGTCTGCCCCAGGTCGTCACCACGACAGGCAGTCGCAGTCCTTGTTGATCAGAGATTTGCCACCATGCGAGTTTGATACCAGGACGGTGGCGGATCCTGGTATTGGATTATTCTTAGCTAGGCTTCCTGATGGAAGCGCGAGACCCCTTCTCAGCTTGGGAGACCCTGCCGGGTGAACGTATCCCCTGCTGTAAGTCGCAATCCGACTCCAAGGAACACCTCCCAGCCACGACGAGGTGGTAAACCGCTGGGAGGTTCGGCGCATGTTTCACTGAGTAGTATAAATCCTCTCTGTTACAATCTCCTTCTCCTAATTTTTCGACTTTTAAAAATTAAAAAAATCTAATCATTTACACTGCAAAATTGCTAAACGTTCAAGCTCACCTAAAAGCAAAAAGAATACCGTAAGAGAGATAAGGATAGAGATACAAAGCGATATTTTTTCGCCTCCATCTGATGGCAAGTAGAAGACGAGGGCCGTAAGAAAACTGAAAGCGACACCGCAAATTGACTCGACATCAGCTAGGGAAAAGCAACTCGTTTTTTTTCTACTCAAATAGCTTCAAAAGAAAGAATTTGGCTATTCAAGAATGTACCAAATATGTGAAAGTAGAGTGGTACAGCAAGATTAGATCAAAATGAGATCTGAGTGAAAGAGAAAATAAAAACTTGCCTTATACCCACTGAGGGAAAAATTAGATTCACAGTGTAGAAGAGTGTTTTGCGCCTCAAATGAATTTCATAGGTAATGTCGATGAAGGGGCTTTCACAGCAAGGATACCTGAAGGCAAACGAAACATAGAACGGTGAAAAGGAGTTTAAAGTTGTATGATCCTAAAATAACACATGTGGAAGACCTATTCATCTAAAAAATGTTTACCTACTTCGAGTAATATCTACCCCAGCTAAACTTTGGCAACATCATTAATGAGAATCAATAGCACTTTTTGTCGCTTTTGAGCGCGAGAATCTCGTTTGGAGAAGCTTAATGAAGGAAATCTTTCGTTGAAGAGCAAGGAAGTATCGGTAAGCGGACGAGGATATGCGGTGATGCATTTAAAGTACAAGAAATTGACTGAAGATGTCGATGACCATTTTAAGTATCACTGTGAATGCTTTATGAGAATGCTTAATTATGAGAATGCTTTCCGGTTTAATCGCCCTTAACGTTCATCGAGACTACTGAGCTTTAAGATCGATCGAACACTTCCGTTCAACAACCCAACCTGTTCTTACAAAATCTTCTTGATGAGCTGGTAAAAGGTTGTTAGAACGTCCTTGAAGTTTTTTTATGACTGTTTTGGCAAACTTTCTTCTAAGTCGATTTTCTGTTGTCGACACTTTTAGAAATGCCAGAGCTTCTCCAGCACCTCACTAAGTTCCAAAGGTGTTGATTGATGGTAGAATTAATTGAAATCTGGTCTCTGAATTGTCATTGGTGATTTTCGTTTAATACACTATTATCACCCTAACAAGCAAACTCCGAGATAAACAGCAGACTACTTCGCCTATGTTTACCAAACTGCTGTACTGAGAACTGGAATCCACTGTAATTGCAGAAAACGAGAAAGAAAACAAAGAAAATAAGGTTTGGGCTCTCGACACGACGGCATCTCTCATCAGCACTTTATTGTGAGAAATGAAATCTAAAGCTTAGGGTTGCGTTGTCAGCTCGCAGGTCGTTAATTATCGTTCGTATGGTGCCGTTCTTTCACATACGATCCGACAGCACTATCACGTTGAACAATGCGATTACCTGTAGTGGAGTTCTTCCATTTATCTTACAATAAATGTTGGAGATATCTAGATCTGTTGAATAAAATTAACTTCGAAAAAACGCTGATGATCAACCCATGAAACATTAGAGCCAACTGTGAGACTTACACTGCACTGCACTGGTCACTACTGCGAACGCTCGTAAATTAGGCATCCCATAGAAAATTGATTTGCAATTTCTACTAAGTTCTGCCATCACTTTTTCGTCTGCGAATAGTTCTTGAGTAATTCCCATGACCGACTTTCTGTTAACCTCGGCATTAATTGATAATTCAATGTTTTTCATCAATAAGCAGACAC